GCTATAGGGCATGTGTGCTCGTCAGACAGACAGAGAGAGACAGAGAGACAAAAAGCGAGAAATCACCCCCCAGTGAGGATGGCCACGCCGCAATCCCCTCTCTCCTCCATTCTCCTCTTGGGATCTTGGGCACACATGCACACGCGCCCGGTGTGAGTTTAAGCCACCGGATCCGGGACTTGAACCACGCTCGACTACGTGGGAGTCTAGTGACATAGCCATTATGCTAACTGCTGGTCCCAGATCCTAAGTTTTCTTCCATATTACAGGGTGGGTGTTTGCTCACTCTACAGAATCCCACTGGTTCCAACTTTAAAGGGCTTTATAACCCCTTTACTGTATCCCTGTTCTCTCAGCTGCCTGACTTTAATTTCCTCTTCAGGATTTTAATTTTGCCCCATTTCTTCTGCATGATGAAGATGGGAGTGAAATAAACCTGTTTGCTGTCTGCCAGTTGATTACATATTGGCTTTTGCTCTGAGAAGCTGGTATTTTCCTTTTTTGTACTTTAGTCAAACATATGAACAAGGTAACAAATACCTCATTTTGTTACTTCTACTTTTTATTTTATGTCATCTTTTCAGACTGTTGACTCACTAGCTTCCAAAAGTACATTTTCCAAATAATGAGGATAATAATCGAAATAGCGATTGCAGGGTCATCCAGTGGCTTGGTGTTAATGCAACTGGTTCCAGGTAGTCAACTGTGAGGTTCGAATCCTGGTTCTGCGGCTTTATAAACACGCCAGGTGCATGCACGTGTGCGTATGTGTGTGCCCAAAATTCTGAAAGGAGAGAGATATGGAGGAGAAGGAGAAATGGAGGGGAGGGGACTGTGGCCACACTCCATGGGTTGTGCTTCCCCTGCTTCTTTCTTGCATGCATCCTTTGACAAATTATAAAAAGAGAAAAAAGAAAAAAAGAAATAATGATGGTGATAACACATGATAACAAAGCACATTGAGTGCTATTACGATGCTAATGCTTTATATTGTATCTCATTTCCTGCATCTCCCTTATCATAGTGACTATTGAGCTGAGCCCAGAGCAGACTCTTCGGGCCTAATACGAATTATGATAGTAACCATTGAACTCTCACCTGGCCCGTGACTTTTGCTTTCCTTATTTCATGTCGTCATTGTAATAGTCCTATGGAATGGACATTATGATTCTTAGTTGCAGAGAGGAAAGGGGATTCAATATAAATGTATTAAAAATTCATTCCACTTATCCTTTCAACAGACAGGTGGTGGACATGCCCCGTGCCTTGGTGCAGTGTCAGGAACGCAGATGTCCCTGCCCTCAGGAGGCTCACAGTCGAGTGGGGTCCCCAGGCAAGGAAACAGGCAATGGCAGTGAATCTCTGAGAAGACCTAATGCGCCAGTTTATCCTGGACTCCTGTGCCATCACACTTCAGAATAACTAAGTTAACTCTTTATTCCTGGCATCACCAGGGGGCGTTTTGTGTTTAGTCACATCCTTTTTTTTTTTTTTTTTCTCGTGGTCATTTGTAACCATGGAGTCTAAGTTGGCTTTTTTGGATGTACCTTGTCCTCCTCAGCTGTATTTTCCCACAAGTTCATGCTTACATTTTTTTTTTGAACATCTTAAAATTTATTGTTATTGGGGCCAGCAGGTGGCATGGTAGTTAAGGCCACATGGCCAACTGTGGTTTGAGTCCCAGACCTGGCGGCTTGCTTTCTCACTTTCCTTTACCCTCTCTCTTCATCTGTCCCTGGTGAACAAACATGGCCTATAGCAAATTAAAAAAAATAATAATAAAATATTTTAAAAGAAATCTATTGTTCTTAAGCTCAGAATATGCCACATTGTGGCTGACCTCTCTTCTGTTGCTTTACCTGGGCAAAGGTGATAGAACCTTCATTTCCTCAGAGAGGGCTTCTTCAGGGCTTGGAGAAGGAGCTAAAAGAGGGAAAGAAATTAAAAAGGGAGGGAGTGTGAAGAAAGGCCCTGTAGGATGCTGGGAAAGGACAGGCAAGGCAAGGAGACACACTTCTGGGCAGCGTGTTTGAAGAGGAAGGAGGATGCTGTTTGGTTCAACCTGGGAGGCACCAGTGAGCCCAGTGCATGCTCAGTGCTGGGATCAGAGGCCCCCAGAACCTGGCTCACTTTAGTTCATTAGGATGCTCTTGGTTGTACAGAATAAAACCTACGCTCACATGGACTTACATGCCAAGAATTTTGTTTTCTTAGATAACAGGAAGCCTAGAGATGGCCAGAGTTCAGGATTAGTTGATTCAGCAGCTCGGTGGTCAAGGACCCCTACTTTTGCTCTGTGAGCAAGTTTCGCTCTCTAGCTAGTGCCTGTCATGATTGCAAGATAGTCTCTAGCAGCCAAAGTGGATATGCCTCCTTGTTCAACTTCAGTAAGAGAGTTGTTTCTCACCTTGTGACTGACACAGAGATGGCAAGAGGAAGAAAACATTTCCTATTGGAGCTCATTGGTCTAAATTGAATCACATGCTTATTCCTACCAATCACTGGCAATGTGGGTGAAAATTACATCATCTGAAATGGAATGGATTTGGGGAAGCAGGCACTGTACTCATTATAGGATCACATTTTCCAAGGTACATTTATACATAATAGTAGTGAATAACCCAGTGCCATGGTGAAATCTAACTAGGAATTAGAATGTAGAATTGCTGGACTTAGCAAATAATACAAAATGCCCAGTTAAATGCGAATCTCCAAGTAACCATGGTTACTTCTTTAGTTCAAGTATTTCCTATGCAATAGTTGCTGACCTGTGTGTGCCAACATTTGGTACATAGCAAAATGGGTCAGATAAATATCTGGCAATGGGACATAAGAAAAGATTGTTGAGGCAGTCTAAGAACTCAGAAACATGATTAATCTGAGTCCTTACTTGTGTGAGTACAGTGGAGTGTAGACTGGTTCAAAAGGAGAGGAGGGCTAGGAGACCTGTCCTCCTCATTTTCCTTGGCTCCTTGTGGTCTGGACTGAAGGATAAAAATGACTGCACCTCCTCACGTGGGCTCTCATTGACCCATCCTGCCCTCTCTTTCCAGGGCCCTGACCGGTGTGGGCAGGCCTTACTGCAGATTGGGATCAACATGATGGCACTGCCTGGAGGCCGCCACCTGGACTCCATCCCCCTGCCAGGGCAACGGTAAGTCCTGCAGCTGTCTCTCAGGCCTGCCCTGTCTGGACTCTGGCTAAGGCCCAGCCTCAATATCTTCAGGCTGCAGGTGGCCCCATCTCTTCATGCACCGTCCTGGGGAGAAAGCCTAGGTTGCAGTACTGGGATGCCATGTTCACTCAGCAAATACAGAGGGAACTGGGCTCTGAGACCCAGAAGAACCAGGCTCATTCCTTCCCCAAGGAGCCACAGTCTAACATTGAGGCAGACAATGAAACAAACACTCTAATGGGCAGTGCTGCTAAAATTGATCCTGATCTATTGGGAAGTACTTGTTTCCCGGAATAAGGCCATGTGGGCAGTGGATGGAGGCATACTCTGAGCAGTGGGTGATGTCCAAATGGGTGAGAGGAGCATGGAGGTATTTGGTCTGAAGGAGAGACTTAGGGTGCCAGAAGTGGGTGCCTGACCCCAGCTGGATAGCGGAGAGGGGCCTGGCAAGTCCTGGAGGCCTAAACCAGAAGTAGTGGTGGAAATGCCAGGATTCCAGATCTACTGATCAACTGTCTCAGTGTCTCCAAACTGATTTTGACATGGAAGTTCTGTGTCCCTGGGAACTCCCTAGTCCTGGGCCAACCTGGGCAGTTTGTCACTGTATGAAGTGTTCATCAACAGAGGAACTTGCAGCCTCAGAGGGCTCAGGGAGTCCACGTAGCTTTTTCTTTTTTCCTCTAGCTGGGGCATTCTGATGGGGCTATTTTGAGACAACAGAATCCAAGTAGCCTTTGTAGACTGTTCAGTCACTGTTTCATTATTGTGTAGTGTTCTGTTTTATATATTAAATGTATGATTAAAATCTTGCCTTTATCCTTAACCTTCCACTTAAGTTACAGGGAACTTCAACTTACATCTGCACTAATTTCCATATTGTTCATTTGGTTCTTGAGTATTTAAAAAATTTTGTTAGTGTGTGTTGCTTTCAAAATCAGAAAAAAGATGATTAATTATACACTAAAAGCCTACTAGAACTGAGCCAACCTCTATGAGGGCATCAGCCTGCTCTCCATAAGCCATTGTTATGACGAGGTTCAAGGATGTGACTACTGTTCATGCATGCTCCTGAGGATCCAGAACACTGTTAGAAATGGAATTAGCCATTTCCTGTGCAGCTAGAAGCCAGAATAAAGGATCATACAGGAGCCCAACTATTTTTGCAGGCAGTGTCTCTAAGGGAGAACTCAGATATGGTGAGAGACAGACCTGTCAGAATATGTGTACGTTCTAGAGATGGGGCCCACCTCAGCTTGTCATGGCTGATGGTCCATCCTGAGATGAGAGAGTGTGGTCATCTTAGGACATATGGCTGCCTGGCTTCAGAGTTGGGCTCTCCTTACTCGCTATGCAGCCAATGCAAGTTCCTGAACCCTGTCAGCACTTCAGGTCCTTCATGTATTCAAGCGGGTAATAGTAAAACCTACTTAATATGGTTGATGCGTTAATCAAACGAATTTCACACACTCAAGGTTACAAGAGGTGAGCCATTGCATATTGAGTGCTGCATGACTGGGGCTCTCCATGTAAGTGATCTTTGGAAATTCTTCTAGAAACTGCTGCTTGGACCTCTCACTCTACGCAGGTGACTTCACTGAGAAAGTTAGAAATCACAGATAGCTATAGTCAGGACAAAATGGAAGTGTTCTGGAGGGAGCGGAGTCTCTTTCCTGCCCCTGACCTGCCCAGGGAAGTAGGTCAGGAACTATGTGACCAGATGGGCAGCAGCGTCTGTGTCAGCGGAGCTTTGTGTTCCCTCTGAAGACCCCTCAAGGGTCCTGAGATGGCTAGATGAGGCCTGTGTTGGTGGCAGAGAAGCCATCATCCACGGTAGTGTAGGACAGTGGTTAGAAGGCCAAACTGCCTCAACTCGATTCTTCATTCTGCTACTGATTAGCTACAACTGGGCTTAATCCTTCATCTATAAACTGTGGATAATTTATACCTACATCATTGGGTTGTTATAAGCATTTAAAATAATATGTGTAAAACATCTGCCTGGCACATAAAAGAAACCCTGCTCGATCTGTGTTAGCTTCTCTTTCTTCAGATGACGAATAGGTTCTCTGAAGAGAGAATATGGGGTGAATATCGGAATATCAGATCTTGGTATCCTGGGAACCACTTATCTCCCTCGATCTCTCTTTATCTTTCCCCTCCACTTCTAACCTCCTTTGAAGTTTTATGGGTAAAACGAAATTCACTGACATAAATATGATTTAGGAGTCAGATGAACGTTCTTTTGGTGGCAGGGTAGAATTTCCCATTGATCTTGTACAGCAGATACCTTGGGAGGAAAACTCCAGACAAATGCAACTCCAAGAGGTCCTGGCATGCCCCAAAAGTTGCAACCTGTGAAATGATTTTTTTTTTCCATGATGTCCTCATTTTTACAGTTCTGACAGGGCAGCGTGGACTGCAGAGAGAGGGTGGTATTTCCTCTAAAACATTCACGGCCCAGTGTTGTTGGGCCTACCCAGAATGTTGCAGGCACTCTGTTTCTGGATCTACCAACATGTTACTTGCTTATGTTCTGGGGGATGTGTATGGGCCATGATCAAAGAGAAGGTTTGTGTATATTTATGTGATGTCGGGGAGGGGGTGGTAATTTGTCCAAGATGATTCTGCATTATAGGCAAATAACAGTGGCTACTTCTGTCTGCTTGTTCTCAGTTTCAGAGGCTTCTCTCATAGGGAATAACACCATAATTATTGTCCTCAGATAAATAATTAATGCTGGATAATTTACTTCTTTTGTGTTCCAGTGAAACTGAATTTCACTTTGCAGTGCCATTGTTCACCTAAATGAACAAAAATAAATAAATAAGTACTATCAATTTGCGTGGAAATCATCCAGTAGCCAGGGTGAATCACGTGGGTTAGGCCATTGGTATTTGAGGCCCTAATGAACAAACAGAAGCAAAACTGGCTGTTTCCTAGGTGTTGCTTCCAGGAAGAAACTAGAGTGACAGCCCCATAGGCCTGGACTTGGGCTCTCATGCTGACCTGGCATAGGTGATGAGAGGTGTCATGATAGGGTTTAGTGGCTTTCCACTCTGCACCTGAATCTGCTGGGATGTTTTCATATTTAAAAGCAATAAAGCAATAAAGCAAAAATCCCACAAAATCCTGCTCTGAAAATCTGTAATGTGGACCTCAGTGGTTGAAAGCCTATAGACCTTGGATCAGACTTAGTTTCAAATCCCAGCTCTACTTCTCACCAGTCTGTGACCATGGGCAGCCGCTTAACCTGTCTAAGTACCAAATTTATCTTCTATCACATAGTAGCAGTGACAGCTTCTGTAAAAGGCTGTGAAAGAGTTTGAGTCCAGGAAGAGAGCTCTCTCTAGGGCCTCAGAGTGCTTTGCAGTGCGTTACCCATACTTCTCCAGGTCTTATTGACAATGGTAACTCTCTCCCCTTCCCCTTTAGTTGTGAAAACACTGAATTCAGGTCTGAGCACCTCCCTGGAAGATCAAGGATTTATCAGCGAGAGAGAATGGGCTGAAGATGAGCTCCCTGGACAGCAAGAAACTGTGGCTGCTATGGCCTTAGCTTGCCTTTATTTTCTCCTCGATCTATTTGCATTTGGGTCTGGGACGTCAGTCCTCTGGAAGGTGCTAGTCACGGCGATGGCATTGCTGGGACTGAACCATGGTGTTCAGCGAAGACGGTCGGTGTGTCGGCCCCTGTCTGCACAGTCCCAGGACTGGCCCTCCACCATCAGAGTGACCTTCGTTTTTTTCAGGGACGCCTAGGTCCAGTCCTTGATTTAGCTTTCTGTATGGGAAAGGTCTTGGGGAGTGAGTTGGAGGCCAGTCTGAGGGATACACATAGGGCTGCATCCAGGTATCCCCTTTCTTTCCTACTTCCTTCTTCCACTCTTGCCTACAGCTCAATCTAAGGCACCTTGACATTTTCTCCCTGAGTCTTGCCAGTGAAGAGTTAGGGTGGAGCTGTTGATTAAATGGTTGTCCTTTACCAACCCTCATAACAAACCTGGCTCACACTGATAAGCCCTTGCTATGGGCTGGGTACTTTAACATACAGCTACTCATTCAGTCTTCATGGCCCATGTGTATGATTATTAATATCTTTATTTTGCAAATGAGCAGTCTCAGGTTGGGTTTTCTGGAAAGAAGCCTTTGAGGTGGAGTTTAGAATTCAGGATGGCTAGTAGGGAGCCCCTTTGGGATCCATGCTGTAAAGGGAGAGGAAGGAAACAAAACTAGGCAGAGGGTGAGGATGGGTTGAGCTGAGGCTGGTGTGATGACCTCGGCTGACCTCACAGGGAGCTTTGACATGAGAGCTGCTGCGCATTAGCCAACATGGCCGGGGCCTTTGTGTCTCACTGAGATCTGTCGTTGGAGTGCATTCAAGTTTTTAAAGTAGGAGGCCATTATGCTAGGGCTTCTCCAGTACTTTAAGTTCCTAGGTAAGAAATCTGAAGTCCACCATAAATGGTACCACAAAACTAGAAGCATTATCAATCAGAAACAGCCAAATAATCTATGACTAGCGTCTTTCCATTTGAAGCAATGAAATCCTTTCCGTTTCCCTTCCGTGTGCAGCCTGTAAAAGCTCACTGCCTCCGTGGCTGCAACAGAGCTCTCAGAACCTCTTCTGGTTCTGGTGTCTGCCCAGTTCATCAATCGTTTTCTGCTCAAAGAAACTCAGTTCACTTTTAAAATTTTATACATTTAATCACTGTGTATCATACAGCATACCAAATGAATTTTTCCATCAGGAATACACTGCATATTGATCCAGTCAAAGACATTGCAATCTGTTACACATTATAATCAACAGATTTCTTTCCATTTTGGGTCCCTTAAGTGTTTCAGTTCTTTCTTCTTCCTCTTGACAAGGTCTCGCCATCATGATTCTCCTACCTCAGCCTCCCAGCTGGGACTACAGGCACACCGGGAATCAAGCCTGGTCCTCCATGTAGTCCCAGCCCGTGGAGCACAGCGTCTCAG